AAAAAAAAAGTGCCCCAACTGCTGGCGTGATTCCGGCCGAATGAGTAGCTTAAACAAAAAAATTTGAAAATTTTATTAAGCTTAAAGATATTTTTTATGCAATGAACAACGATCTTTGCAAAATATCAAAATTTAAAAAAATGCCGTAATTTTGAAAAAAAAAATGTTTTTTAGGTAAAAAAATGGTCGTTTTTTAATGACAAATTGACAATTTTCAACCAATCAAAAAGATCGTAGGTAATTATATAGGAAATATGTTCAAATATACTCAGTTTTAGTCGATCGGTCAATTTCTTGTTGAGTTATGTCGCCAGCAATTTTGAAAAATGTCGTTTCGAGAAAAACGCGTTTAAAATTTGCACCTCCGAGCGGTCGCTGCCCTCCAAAAAGTACCAAAAAAATTTTTTTTGTTTTGAAAGTGTCACACTGGTGTAGCACCTTAAGAATAAGATGGTTAATTGAAGCATCAACAATTATTGACACAAAGCCATTCCATTAAGGAATTTCTMCAAATTTCAATTATATGTACATATGTCTYACACATTGGCCGATATTTTCAATAAAAAGTCAACTAAAGGCACTGGCGTCAACATATTCGGTTCTTTTGGAAGTCAGTCGAGCAGGTTCTCACATATGTTATAATCTTTAAAAGTGGGCGGTGCCACACCTATTGGCCAATTTTGACTCCCTTTCATACCATCCCGGGAGTAAAATTAATGTCATCGGTATATTCAGTTATTGTTTTATCGCCCTTTTAATAAATTTTAACAATATCGCTATAAGGGGAGTGCTTATGAAAATTGTTCTGAGTGAATTTGGTTGTTTGAACTTGAATGATTTGGAATATACATATATACTTTATACATTAAAGGGCGGGGCCACGTCCACTTTTGTAAATTTTTAGCTCACAGGTGCCCTTGCTATTGTGATTCCCTCTGCTAAATTACAGTTCTGTATTATCGTAGTGCAAAAACCAAGACTTGTCGGTCCGTAATTTTGGCTTCTTTTTACGAATAGCTTCGCGCAAACACGTACAACAYTTAAATAGTATTCCTTGTTGACAGTTTGGCAGGTCGAAGGGAATTCGGAGTGCACAACGTTTCGATAATCGAAGAAAATTGTCAACATAACCTTAATTGTCACCTTTGCCAGGAAATCGGATCGATTGATCAGATGTTTTGGGGTCGTAAGCATAGATCCAAGACACWTCGCCTGTAATAATAAGTTTCGTGCCATCCTGGTAGTCGGAAAGCATTGTTTCACAGCCTTAACGCGATGTTTTCTTTTTGAAAAAATTTAGTACTTTTGGAACCAATCGTGCTTTTTCCTTTCTTAGGCCCAAATGATAGTTCAAAATGGTTTTTATTGATCCTTCCTACATTCCAGCGATGCCAGTAAGATCTCTGACTGTTAATCGTCGATTCTGAAGTACCAATTCCTTTATTTTATTGGCGTGTTGATCATCAGTTGATGTTGATGGCCGTTCTGGACTCTATCCTCCTTTGAATAATTTGGACCAATCAAAGACACTTGCCCTCGACAAACAATTATCGGCGAAAGCCTTTTCCTATATTCTATATTTCGACACCAGAACTTTGATTCCGCATACAAAATTTAATGGAACTTCTTTGTTGAATAATTTAACTCATCGCAAAAATTGCCGATTGCTTTTTATGGACTTTTAAGACATCTAAAAATTTTGCACGCTTCACAAATTTTTATTATACGTAAATAGTGAAGATGCAAAAGCAATTAATATTTGCACAAAATGTCTATGCACGCTTGATTACTATTATCTAACAAAAAATAAAAATACTTATGCGTAAATGTCTTGCAATGATTAGATATTCTGGCATCCACTGACATGCTGTGCTTGATACTTTTTAGCCCATATAGAGGATAATGTTTAAAATACATTTACTGCAACGGAGATTAACTTAGTGCTTTTCTGCTGACGCCACATTAAGCTTCACAGATCGTGATGACCRTTTGCGAAGTTTCGTTATCACAATATTGCAGTGTCTCAAATGTTCCGTACTCATTGCTGCCTGCCATGAAACTCGAAACATAGCCTAACCTTGGATATTATGGCGTTGCAGAGTTGCCTGTTTGATGCGAGTCTCACTCTCACAAAGCAATAAATTTGTCTTAACTTCGAAGTTAATGTTTAGACAATGAGACATGGAAACACGCTTGGATATAGTGAAGTTTTATAAACATAAAAAACAATTCCAACCATTGAAAAACTTGATCATTATCACCTTTGAGCTTTAGGCTTATAGAAGAAAGCAACAGTCCGTACTGAACTCCGTCTCAGAGATTATCGATGTAATTTTTGTTTGCTGGGTTGAAATACTCTATGCTAACWGTACATTTCTTACTTGCGTAAATGCATACATATAATACATATATACTGTATTTCGGGTTTCCAAATTTAAGTTGCCATAGTAGCGCCTTGGAAGTTCGCCGCTCGTCATTAAGCACATCATATGGTCGTTGAACCGGTTTCCAAAAGCKTGTATCTATTGCGCAACAAGCCGGTACAAAAACCGTTAGAAWAAAAAAGTAGGTTAACAAGCCAAAAGAATGTACCACTTGGAAAATAGAGTTTGCCTACTTTAACTAAAAATAATATTTTAATTGTATTTGCAAACTCAAATCTTAACTGCACGCTTAGCGTTCGTTATCTCTGAATGTGCTCATTTTACACCCATTCGCGTTTATTTACTTCATTTATTTGAGTGTGCAGAAAAATTTGATAAGAWAGACTTAATGAATGCACTCTTTCTATGCACTAGTTAGTGACATCAAGCTTACTGCGTATGGAAACTTCACAGGGAAACCCATTTCCTTACTTCTGAYTCTACCATACTAGACAGTTAGGCCTCTATAAAGTCTCGTTTGCATCTTGTTATTGAGTTACATATATTAGCATATAGTATGTATGAAAATGAGACTGTATTGTAGATATGTTGTGGTGTGGGTATTATTTATTATTTGCTGATAAGTTCTCAAATATAATAAAATTTCTCCTACATACATATGTACATATTGTACATATTTATAAAGGGGGCTTCAAAAGGCGCATAGTAACTGTGCAAAAATGTTCAATCACCTACCTGTTCGCACCAACGTTTTTCACATTTAACTTACTGACCGTGAMCCGTGACGTGAGTCCCATTTATTACACAAAAAATCACAAGGATTTCAAAAAACATTTTATTTAACATACTTTATGCAGCAATTTTTACTTGCTCAGATTGTTTATGAAGTATAATATTTTCGGATTTGTCTCCATATACTGTTTCCAAATGCTCGG